TTATCTTAGTTAGGAACAAATTACTTAAATGGACTGAATGTCAACTGGATGAGAAGAAGAATATCTTTATTTTTAAATAAAATGTTAATTATAAACACTTCAGCTAAACATTGACAAAAAATTTAAGTCATGTTTTACAGAGAACATGTTGCTATTAAATTTACTTGAAGGTTGCTTAAAATCTATATATACTTAATAAAAAAATCTTTGTACCAGCAGTAGTATTTCACTTTGATAGCTTTATAATACCAATAAAAAAAATACCTTTTTTGTACTTAACTCCTTCGTGTCCATGTGTTTTGATCTGTTGATTTGCTGCACTTGTATGTTTTTTTTTATTACAGTACAAAAAATATTGGATAAATTAAAACTTCAGATGAACTTTTTACATATTATGTAGCTTCTGCTAGTAAAACAACTTATTTTTATATATATTTGTATGAATTAACAGATTTAAAAATTCAAAAAAAAATTCAATGTGGTATCTTAAGAAAATTGAAAATTCTTACATTTGTTGTATAGTTTAATTATAGACTTATGTCTTTTTTAGATTCTTGTGAAACTTTTCTGTAGAGATTTCATAAAACTATAAACTTTATCTTCACTTTTTTACCATACATAATTATAAGCAACTGATTTTTCTAAATTGTTAAGCAGATGATTTTATTTAATGTGTAAATAGTTTGAAATCCATTTTATATTAATTTATATATATATACTTTTCAACTTTCTTTTTGGTAATCTTTGCTCATTCAAGCAGTTACTTATACCAATAAGGTCTAATATAACCTAAAAACAGTTTTGATATGGGCAAGTGAAAAATGATCAAATTAACTCTCTCAACACAGGCTCAATCAATTTGACAAACTACATGACCCCTTTGTACTTGTTTGAAGTCTTTATAGGTTTAAAACTTCTAACTTTCAATACAGTGTGTATATCTTCATAAAATTTGGCAGTCTTTCAGATACAAAAAATTATATTTTTTAGTAAAGTATTTTTAATAAGTATTAAGTTGTTTTTTTTTGAGAACTTGTTTTGAATAGTCCGTGTGCAAAGTAATTTTCATGTTCAATTAAAAATATTTTCCTCATCTCAAAAATCTCAAATTTCCATTGTGTAATCCCTAAAACCTCTTAAATGCATTTCAAACGTTTTTTTTTTGGTAAAACTTTATAGTTTATCTGTTATTTTCTCTACCCTATCTCAAAATGGAATCAGTCAATTCGAATAACCTCATCGATTGTCGAAGAGAGTTAACACAAATGTTTTTGTACTAATGATAGTAATGCACTTAATAATTTTTATTTAATTAAATAATGCACCAAAGAATATAGACTAATAACATACAAAATGTACCTCTCAAACTTTTTCTGGCTTTCTAACTATGTGACAAGAGTCGTTACAAATTCATCTAAGCTAGTCGTTAACTTTCTCTCAAATATGTCATTTGATAGATCAAAACCTTGACTTTTCATTAGTTAGAAGTAATATATAACTAAACATAAGAGAGAACTATTAATGAATTCTGAAAGAGAGGATGTGACAGGTAGGTGTGGCAGGAGAGGTCTGATTTTTTTATTCGATAGCTGTGTAACCAAACAATATTGAAGACTATAAAAACTATGGTTTGTCTGAGCAATGAGTAATTTATGTTTAATTTCATACTTTTTTGAGGGGTGGTGGATAAAATAGGAAAGATGATATGCTAAAAGAAAATGTGTCATATGGGTCACACTATGGGAAATTCAGGATTTTTTTTATATTGCCTTTTAGAATTAAGAACCTAAAACTTATATACTATTAAAATATGGATTATTAGCTAAGATTTTATGCTATTCTAATTGTTATAACATAAACAAAAAGTAGTTTAATAAAATTTTGAATGTAAGATACTAAAACCCATGGCAATAGGATTAAGCTTTACCTTGTCTTGTTCCAAGAGAAATATTTCTTTTCCTATAATGTTGCAATATCATAATTCAAATTAAATATAATATGATAAAGTAAGCTTTCTGCAAGCTCAAAAAGAAAAAAATCAGGACTATAATTATGGCAAAGGTTGTTAAAAAGCATCTTCTAGCAACATCTCACCAAACTAAACTTTTATCAGTTTGTTCCAATTTCTATACAAATCTCTGAAGTGGAAGCCATTTTGGCTTTTTCCTTTTCATTTCTGAGGCTGCTTATAACTGTTGGGGCACCTTAGATGCTAATGCATCATTGGCGACTCTTGGTCAAATTTACCTGGTAGTGTCCATCTCCTCTCCAGATAGTTGTCCTTCTAGAAGGCAGTTATTCAACACCACCTACTGCAACTCTTGGGCTAGTTGTATCAATGAATAGTAACACTGACTCATTCATGATGTCAGAAAAACACGCAGGTTTCAGAAGTCTTGATATAAAATGATGAAAACCCTATAAGCTTGCCCCCAAAAAAGAAAGGTCGACCTTTTGAAAGTGCTAGGGTTATAGGGTTTTTATCATTTAGTAATACTGACTGTCACATTATAAAAGGTGGGCATGTTCAGTAAAGGGTATTCAAACCTGTGAACTGCAGATTATGAGTCAAGTGTCCTAGCAAACCAGGCCATGCCAGGCCCATTTTGGCTTACATAGCAGAAAATAACAGAAAAAGAGCTTTCATTATGTGTTTACATCACTAGCCTATGACTTCTAAATACAATTATAACAAAGGTTGAGAAACACTGATTGCCAGAAATCAATAAAAAATACAATTGTATTAAAATTACATGGTTCAATTAAAGACTATTTTGTTTCAAAACTATTTTATTTTATTTTCCTAAGGATTACATTTTCTGTATTATGTACAGAAAATTCCTGGAAATTCACATAATGTTTACATTTTGAGTGTGCTGGAGTCAACCAAAAAATTCAAATTTGTGGCTTTAACTTTATGTATAAAATTAACTAAATAGAAAATAATTTATTGAATTTCAACTCTTGTTTTCTTCTTCTTTTGCGGTGTGTAAGAACGACTACAAAGTTATTTTCTGTAATTTTTATTCAATGTTGAAAGTTTCCCTTGAGACTGAATGCATCCATCTGAGTATGATAGTTAAGTCGTGATGTACAAACCTGATTTTCAGTTGAAGTTTATAAGAAGTCTTTATTTTTAATACTAATAAATTTTGTGACATTAAACTTTTTCCAGACACATTAAAATTAATTTAAATCTAAAAAAACAGAAATTATGGTGCTATTATAGTGTGCAGTCTACAAAGATATTTACAATATAGCATGCGGTCTACACAGATACTATCATCACCACTGTTTTAATGATTCACTAAAACATAATTTCTTGCTAAATAATTTATATCTATCCACATTTTTGTTCAGCAAATAATAATAATTTTATAAGTTGTGTGTTCAAAAAGAGTACCTTAAATTTAGGTTATAATTGTGCTAGTTTTGATTGTTGAATTTTATTTCATTCTGATTATATTTGCCCCAAAAATGTTATGTAATGGTATTTTGTACTACATTAGTTTAAATGTGTTATTTATAATAAATGGTGCAAATTGCAAATAAATGAAAGTTAAAATGGTGATGATGATAATAACTGTGTAGACCACACACTACAGTGTAAATATCTTTGTAGACCGCATGCTATAGTAGCACCAAAATTATAATCTGAAATAAATAGAAAATTATTTGTAAATTGTAGTTTATCACCATATTCATAATAAAATGTATACCATAAAAAACAATGTGTAACTGGACTGAGGAATACTATTATGAGAGGAAGGAGCTAGTTGCAGAATGAAGTGCATTAGACACAAACATACTTAGTCAGTCTTCAGTCTATATCAGTATATGTTAGTTTTACTAGTAATAGTAACACTAACCAATAGAAGTTACACTAGCAGCACACGAGATCCACACCATAATCATTAAGGTGTTCCGATATCTAATCACAACTGAGACATTAACCTAACCTTTTAGGCACACCTGTCACCATGCATAAGAATATTATAAGTATTTTGGTCACATTTTGCACAACCTGGGAGGATCAGGTGCTTTTCTAGATCCCTTCCTCCCCTTTTACAATTTCTATAATAAATGCAATATGAGCATTCATGATATCAGGGCACAAACACTAAATTATAAACACTGATTCTACTTCTCACTTCTGGGCCTTGTCAAACCTATAGCATTTAATTCTATTCACCACTTCTCTTAGTTTGATTGCATAATAGTCCATAAACAGTTCATAATATATGTCACTAGGTTACATCATTTTACATAAATACCCTCTAAGTACATTTATAATATAATCTAGGAGATGTGTTAGATTAAGTCAGAGGTGGCCTGCTTATTATGACTCTCAAAGCTAAGTATACACAATTAGAACCAAGGTTGAGAAACATTGATTGTCAGACATTAATATAAAAAAATTGTACTAAAATTACTTGCTTCAATTAAGGACTAGTTTATTTTAAAACTATTATAATTTTTTCCTAAAGATTATATTTTCTGTATTATGCAAAGAAAAATTCAGGAAATTCACAAGCATTAATGTTTTCATTCTGAGTGTGCTGTACAACTGTGCTCTGTCAACAGCAAGGAGTTGAGTCCGGTATTTTAGCATAGTTAGCCCGTGAATTTAGTGCAAACCCACCCTGAGATGATCAGAATTGAAATCCCTGAAATTAGTTATTTTCAAACTGATGGTGCATGTATGGAACTCAGATTACATGTTTTATGTATCACTTGATAAACTCTTAAATGCTAAAGTAGAATTCATGAAATCAGGGCTTGAACATGATGTAAAAACACCGGGTTATGATATCACAATCTGGGTGATGTGTAAGATTAAGTCAGAGGTAGCCTGTTTATTATGATAACCTTGGATAATTTTATTTTGTATTTTAGGCTATAAGTGAAATGTTGTAATACATACAGGATGATAGATGCAAGATGTTTTTTGACTATGGTGAAAAGTAGATCAATGCTGTCTTGATGGTTTTGATACTCACTGATAAATTCAAAGTGCTTTTTGCAGCTTCTATTATGGGGATGTTTTCTGTATTTGCCTCTTACGATCTTGTTATGGTCAGTATTTGGTTATGATGTACACGGCCTGGGAAGGTCAGGTACTATTTAGACCTCTTCCTTTCTCCTTTACGTTTTCTATGTTTACTTTCAAATGCTATATTAATATTAAGAGATTATTTGGGGCACATATATGTACAATAATCCTTCTTTCCTCTTTTCAGGGTCATGTTCATGAATATTATACTACAGCATTTAGTGCTCATTTGTCACTTCTCTTCATTTAGTCATTACTTTATCACATTATTGATGCTAAGAATATATTTATTGTCTAGTTTAGGTTGACTTTTTCTTATAATAATATTGAATGTTGAGAGATGTTTAGGACTATTCCCAATACCATGACTCTCTTTATCAGGATCTGGGAGGATCTAATTATCAACAAGGTAAGCATGTATTGTGTGGATGGGTATTCGGTCACTGTGCATGACCTGGTAGGGTCAGGCTCTATTCAGACCTCTTCCTCCTTCCTTAACTATTACATGAAAAACTGTCAAATGCTGTAGTAGAATTCACTGAATCAGGGCTTGAACATGATGTTAAAACACTGATTCTGCTTCCCTCTTCAGGGCCATTTCCATGAATAGAATGTTTATAGCATTTAGTGCAATTTCACTATTTCTCTTCATGTGGTCATTTACACTCATAAACAGTTCCATCACAAAATGTCACTCTTTTCACTTGAAGTAGTTATCAGACATATATTTCACATATAAAACCCTTTTAGATACACGTGATACCTAATTTTAAGAAATATATTATAGTCTAGTGCAGGTGGATTTTTTCTGATAATAAATATTGAGTGGAGAGAGATACTTAGAACTACCCTCACCAAGTATGATATAACAACCTATTGAGGTTAAAGAATCATTTTTATATAAATTTTTATCAAATATTTTAACAAGCAATCTATGAGTCTGTCATGAATTGATTTTATTTTAGTGTATTTATGCATGAAATTTAGGTTTGTGCTACATTAGTACAAGCAGGACAGGCACATTCTAATACAGGTTGTATGTATTGTTTATAAATTTTAAGGATATTTTCTTGTCGGCTCCTGTATTTTTTAACCTGTTAATCTCTTGACATAGTTTGCTTGTTGCCATATTTTATTTCCAATTTGGCGACATCTAAAAGAGCTCCATGCAAGTATATTTTGTTTTTGTTGATTTTTAGAAAAGGACTAAGTTAGTTCTGGAACATTTATTTTTATGCTGTGCTTTTAGCAATACTGGATTACTGGATTTAAAACTGACTGTAAGTTTGTAGCTGCTATCAAAAGAGGTCATGGAACTCTTCCATATTACCACACCATCTGCAAATTGTGATGTTAAACTAAAATTAGGATCTTCTAATGACATATGGCTTACATACATGAAGAAAAGAATAGAGCTAACTACCCCTCCCTTGGGAGTAAAGTACTCTAAGTAGGTGCTCTCCACACTCACTCTAGATTTTCTATTATCTAAAATGTTATAAAACCAGCAAGTAACACCTTTTGGTAAATCCATTGTGCCATACAGTGTCAAATGCTTTCTATTTATCAAGAAACAGGTGACAGTGCATTTCTTTTGATTAAAACTATTATGGTTTCAGTTAATCTCACTAAGTGATCTGTTGTTTGCTAAAATTTTTTGAAAGAATTTTGAACTTCAGGTAATTTTTATGTGATCTCCAGAAAAGTGGAGAGCCTATTACTAATTATTCTTTCTAAAATTTTTCCTATACAATTAGTCAAATTAATTGATGGGTAGATTCCTGGTTTATTACCATCACCATCATTCAGCATCAGGCTTTGGGTCTTTTGTAGACCTGGGATGGTCAGGTGCAACTAGATTTCTTCTTCTCTCCTGTACTGTGTTTGATATATAGATAAAGAAAAGTGTAGACTGTGGGAAATGTCAGCATGTTTTCAGGAGGAGCTTCGGCTTTTACATGCAAAGGATAGATTAGTTAACAATGACTTTCACAAAGTTAGAAAGAGTAATATCAGGGTAAAAAGTAGTGAATTTAGTTCTAATGAGCTTATTCTGTTGAGTAACAAATTTCAGCCCTTGGCTGCTGCAGATGAGGAACTATTGATGGGAAGGAAAACAAAAGGGTCAGAGAAGGATATGGATGATAAGGAGGTTATAGTTATAGGTGATTCCTTGACAAGGCATGTGGATAGAATAGTCTGTGGGGAAATTAGGGAGAAAAGAATCAGATTATGCTACCCAGGCGGTCAGGTGGAGGATATAACTGACAGAGCAGGAGATATAATAAAGGGGGGCTAGCACAGATGCAGTTCTTGTGGTGCATGTAGGGGCTAATGATGTAGGGAAAGATAGGTTAATTAATAAGTACAAGGGGTTGATAAAGGCATTGAAAGAAAAAGGACAATTAAATTTTGTCAGCGATACTGCCCAAAATTAACTGTGGGGATGAAGTTATAAGTAGATCACTAGGGTTAAATGCTAGGCTTAGGTTAGTTAGTAAGGATGAGCAGATTGGCTGGTTGGACTTGTGGGATCAGTTAAGTGGAAGAAGGGAGCTTTTTTGGAATGGATGGTTTACATTTAAATAGGGTAGGGGCTGGCTTGTTTGCTGAGACTATTAATTCAGCTGTAAGGGAAGTTTAAACTAGGACTAGATAGTGATGAGAGCCAGGAAAAACTAAATGCAAAAAAGAATAAGAGGCAGAGAAAAGTTTAGCATAGGAAATTAGTATAGAAGTAGTTATAAGGACAGGCTTAATTGTTACTATTGTAATGCTAGAAGTATAACAAATAAAATAGATAACTTTAGAGCACTGGTAAGAAGTTATGATTTTCCTATACTGAAAATGTATTTCTGATAAGTACTTCCCTCCACTCACAAGATTAACTATTCTCGTTCATTGCTGCCCTCTATATGCAAACTTTTTTATTACGCTTACCACAAGCCTTCTGCACACCCCTATTTGAATCAGATTATTTCAACGTGTCTCTCATGCAAATCATCATGTTTCACTTCACCACCAAAACGAGAATAGTACACTCACATGACTCCCTCTATGCGCCTCTACCCAACTATCAGTTCGAAGTTTGGCAGACGACATAAGCACCAAAAGTAAGTGGGGAGGAAGGGTGGGAAGTGTGAGAAGAGGGAAGTAGCTATTGGAAATACAATTTCAGGATAGGAAAAATATAACTTCTGATATGGTACTTCCCTTAGCTCACAAGATTAGCTATAATCCCACATTGATTAGGAGGAGGGACCAGTGTGAGGGAAGCACAGATGCACCCCCCAAAAAAAAGTTTCTGAAGGATAGTTCTGAAGAGGAGAGAGTCAGATCCAAAGAGGGGAACCACACCACTTCTGGTCCAGGTATACTCTTTGCTCATATGTGGAATGTATAAGCACATCCAAGTGGGAGAGAATGCAGTACAAAAGTGATCCTAACTGAAGAAAGATATAGGAACTCAATCCTGCAATACAAAAAGTGGGTAAACAGGGATGCATCCCTTGGTGTGGAGTGGCTAGGGGGCAGAGGGCTGTACTTGGTAAGTCAACTACACGCAAAACCTCCTCACGGGTTATTGACATCCATGCAAGGGTAGGATGAGGATCATACCATCTTCACCTCAAACCCAAGAACCAGGGAATTGAGAACCACTTCAATTCCTGGGTACTACACAGGATTAGCTATAAGCTATAGATCCAGGAATTTGACATCCAGTATCAAAAGGAAGTCTATAACATGCAATCAACTCCCACAACCATGAAACAGGTCAGTACCATCAAAAGGGCAATAACATCCATGTAATAAGAGAGAATGACGGAGAGCCAAGGATAGAATTGGAATAATCCTACATATCCTTGCTGCGACCCACAACACAGAAGGAGGTAATCGAGGGAGGAAGATAGACAACTCTAAACCTGTGTGAGGACATATGTTGATTGGTTCACTCAAAATCCAAAATCAACTCACAGGGTACCAATATCCACACAAGGGTAGGGTGAGGGGTTAACTGCATTTTGAAGTCTCACTCTGTTGTATGGTTAATCGCAAATTGGATGATATTACGTCATCTACATCAGCAGACACAATTACCATACTCTGAACTGAATGGTTATAGCCATCTTATGTGGATCTTATCCAGCAGGGTGCCTCCATGGTCGACCACCCCAGCAGCTTGGTACTGGTAAGTGGTAAGGACTCCCATACTCCACAAGAAGAAAAGTGGGGGCTGAGAATGCATTGGAGAGCCCAAAGGAATATCAACACCCAAGACAGTGCAATGGGTGATCATGAAACCCTATTCTGAAAAGTAGAAAATACTGATTTATTCAATCGAGGCATGGCACGGATGGACAGCTATCCCCTTCTGCTTTACCTATGAAGTCCATGGGTGGTACAGTCTGGGACGGGCCAATTTATGAATCAAATATCGCAAGGTTATTCACCTACAAGCGATCTTGTAAAACATCCCATCTCAAAGGTGAGTGTGTAAAGCCATGGAAAGGAAAGCACTTGTAAACATGGCGTACAGTGCAGATTTAGTTAAAGAATACCTGGTCAGGCAGCATTCGCTACAGAGTTAGATCCATGTAATGAAGGTATGAAGAATGGGCCCCTGAAAGAATGAAAGTATTAATAAAGACTAACCCAGTGTCAGAGTCGCACCAAAGTCTGAAGTACAGCCACAGGTGGAAGACAAAACTGTGATATGATGTAAATAATGGGAGATGAACATGTTAGGTTTGGTCCACCTGCCCAATTGTAGGATTTCCTCCAAAGGCTGATGAAGTCAGGAGGTGAGGAAAATAGTGAAATGTCAGATTTGATGAGAGGTAACACAGAGAAAAGAACAGTGGGAAGGGCACAAGGAGGAATAAGCCAACTGGATCAAACAATGAAACCAATTTGTGAGGGTAAAAGGGGTGAGATCTCTGGATGAAGAAGGTTGTTATGGGATAAAGAGACGGGTACAGGAACCACAGAAGGAAAACGAGCCAGCAATATAACAACAAAGGGCATGCACAGGATATAGAAGTCTATCTAGATCAGCACATGGGTAGAGATGGAAAGGAAGGGAAATAAGAGAAAAGGAGGAATTACCCTCATGAGCCACCAAGGTTTTGGAAAGGAAGGAATGATCTGGATAAAGGAGAAGATAGGTATTG